CAAATGCCATCAGCAACAATATAGCATATATTGAATGCGATATAGAGTATTGAACGCGCTCAGGACGACATGCATGGGCATATATGCCCTCGACAATTTCAACATTGTCATGTACCATTAACAGATATTAGCTGCCAATTAGTGGTGCATTAAAAATTATTTTAAAATAAATTACACAACATAAGCATTATGTTCAATTGTACGTAACGTAACTATAAAATGTATGTATATAAAAGTGTACGTATGGGTGGATCTGTTCAATTTGTGTGCGTATACATGAACATGAACAAATAACAACAAATTAAAATAAACGAATACAAATAATCGTTAATGTAAAAATGATATATAAAAAAATAAAAAAAGAGAATTTACACACAATAAAAAAAAAAAAAAAAAAATAAAATGCATGAAAGCAAAAATTTATATCTGGCACAGTTTATATACATTTTGTGCATATATATTATATATGAACGGACGTTAAAAACACGCCAATATGTAATGACCTTGTTTTTTATAAGCTATATATTAAATTAAACAATACACAATAACAAAAAGATATATATGTACATGTGACTAAATGATATTAATTACTCGTAATTACGTTCATGTTTAATTACGTTGCTTTCTCCACCAATGCTTGCCGAGTTTGCAATACGGGTGCTTTGATATGTTTGCCCCCTGCTGGTTATCCTTGTACTTTATATGTCATATGTAATATACATGCATGTTGCAATGGGAATGCCTTGCTTCTTCAATTTCACAATTCGCCACTTAAGACTTGTACTCAAGCATTATATTACACATAATTAGTAATTTTTTTTTTTCCTTTTTTGCAATATTTGACTTATTATTAACTGGTCTCCTTCGAAAAAGCAAATATTATGCCTAACACTTCTCTAACACTTGGATACCATTTCTCCACAAAAGAGGATGAGGATTCTCAATACTTGCTTAAATTCCCGCAACGGCTTCATCATTTAATCTAACGGGAACTAGTCATTTCCGGTCGTCAGACCTGCAGATTAATGAAAAATTGTGTTAGCCGAAGCAACATAAGCAAATTAATGTCCGACTACAATGTTTAGTTGTTGTTTTATTGCAGATGTTGCATAGTGAGGAGCTGGAAACAAAAAGGAAATCTATGTTGTCGAGCAAAAACCTTGGTCTATGAGTATTGGATATTTATTTACCTCTGTATGATACCACTTCTACAGTGTTCTTCAAATTTTTTCGCTTTCGTTTTTTTGCTATGTCAATGCAATATGAGTTCACTTTCTTTTCGGCTTCGCGTTAAATAATATAAGGCTTAATTAACAGCAAACGATTATCCAACATCCAGAGTACATAGACATACTAAATTAGCCAATGGAAATATGCTATAATCCAAGCGATATAAACATTTCATTGCCATTTCCATCTTTACATTTGTTTACCTATTTGCCCATCCATCCAGATGATTCTGTCCATTCGCGTATTTATCTATTCATCTGATCCCCCTACCCTTCACCGTTGTCTCAACGATTGTTCTGCCCCAATATTAATCCGTCTTTACGATCATCGACCAATCATTCCGTCTGAGCGGTATTTAAATTATTATTAATGTTAACTTCCAAAAACCGTCTTAAGCCTACCTGTGTATGGACTAAAGTTTTATAATTTACTGTAAAAGCTGCTAAAAACGATGGCATAAAAACGTACGTGTATTCAAGAGCAAGACATCATTATTCAATGTAGAACGTACATCGAAATGTGCGTTTAATAAATGCGAGTTCTATAAGCAATAACAGAAGACATGAATAAATATTCACGTTAATCGGCAATACGTTCGGCGAGTACACTTAGCTAGTCCTTAGCAAAATTTTAATGCACAACACCAAATTTGAGGTTAGACCTTCCCGGCATGTTCTGGAAACGTTGATTTTGTGCATTTAACCACAAGTGAATACAAAAGTGTTTGTATCCATATATATCTATGTACATACGTATATGCATTTAAGTGTACATCTATACATATATATATATATATATATTTGTACATATATGTATATTCTTTCAATTTTTCGGTAAGTGGGATGAATATGTATCTGCAAGTTTTCTTACTTAACTGCCAACACAACTGAGAGTAATAAATTAGCAGACTTTCGTTACATCAGTTTGCTTTCAATTATAATAAAAAAAAGAAAAAGTTGTAAATGTTGCGAATTTTTAAACAAAAATTTATTTTTAAATATAATTTATAGTTGATTGACATGAATTTTCGTTTCGTTTGAATTTCATTGATTCTGCTATTATTAAACACTTGCTGTCATCTGCATTTATTATGCCGCGGGGAATAGCTTGGAAGCCTTTTATTAAAAATTCCTTCACCTATACCACATTTTATGTTGATTGCATGCTCAAATAGCCGTATATAGCCGAAATTTTGTGCCTTAACAACTAACGTCTATTCATATATTGCACAATAGTATATAAATATTTTTGTTCCGAATTTAACAAAATTGTCTATCCATGTGCATGTGTGTAGTTTGTTGGGTGTTTGCTCAAATTTATTTTCTCTTTTTTTCCTTCTCCTAGTCTTTATTTTTCTTCTCGTAAGTGTGTTTTTTTATGTGCAGATAAATGTATGTTCTGTATAGCATCCATTGTATAAAGAATTGTATATCTATGCAAATTAAAAATACAAGTTTTTCGAAAAACAAAATTTCTCTTGATTGCTTAAAATGTTCAGATGTATTTTGAAATTGTAACGCCACTCTTGGTATATATATCCTCTATTTTATATATATATATATATATATATATATATCTGCTCATTTAATAGCATGTAAATGTGCATATGTGTGGTTTCAAATAATTACATCCCTGCAATATGTGTATGTGTGTATAAAATTTCTTACAAAACAAATATCAACAGAACTTGATTAGCATTACAATATTAAACAGTTGTGCAAAAAACAAGAGAAGAAGGGATTCCATACCAAAGATTTCACTATTGTCTGGATGCCTGCAAGCGAATTAATATAGTCAATGTATCGACATATACACATATACGTGCAGGCAGATGACTGATGTTGAGCATATTGTCAATTAGTAAGATTTTTGATTAGAAAGATAAACTAACAAAAATCTGTGCACATTTAGAAGAAACGAGTTATCAGTGTGTTTGTTGTTTTCCTTCCCTTAATCAAAATATTTTTCATTTTTTTTATAAAAATATTTTTAATAATTGTAGCTTCATGTCAAACAAGTCGTTCATTATCAAGTTTAGATTTGATAAAAAATTCTCTTTAGACATATTTATAAATGATTGCTTATCATGCTTAGTTGTGCCACCTCAATCGTTTTTCCATTTTTAATATCTCTTTTAAGGCCTACAGGCATTCTTTATTCATTAAGTGACATATAAATGCTTGAGAAATGCTTATGAGCGATAAAAGTGGACGATCAGATTGATTATACATACATTTTGGCCAGAGTGATGATAACGATTCTAAATCTCTCCACGTAGAAAGCAAAGGTGACCTTAAGTTCTTTCTTTTCCTTTCCCACGGTCATGAGTATGACTAAAAGTCGACGAAAAACGACTCGAAAACTTTATATAGAAAAACAAAGTTGACCTCAAGTTCTTCCTTTTTCTTTCGCAAGATCATGTTTTAAATAAGGTGCTAACTAAAGTAGTCCTATGTATATATTAGAGATTCTAAGGTCGCTACAATCTTGTTGTAGTCACGTAAATTGGATAATATTGGTAAACTTCTCTTTGCCTCTAAATTATCTTTTAATAATGCGTACTAAGCCATGTCAAAGTGCAGAATACAAATATTTAGATGTTATACCTATCAATACAAACATACATTTGGAAAATGATTGATTATCTCTCTTATATATAATACTACAATGGTTTCTATTCTTCTTAGCCCATTATTATTATCACAGAAGAAAACGACTTTTGTTCCTTAAGCGAAAGACTTTCCCCAGCCATTGTGTTCGTGTTTTATATATGGGAGCGGTATAATAGTAGTAGTGCTTTATAAACTAATTTAATAAAGTGA